GCTTCTTCTGAATAACCAAAATGCCCAGGATGTAGATATTTGGTCAGTAGCATGCTAGGATGAAGGGCTACCAAGTTTGTTCAAATAAATTACCTTCACCCAATTTCAAGGTCACAGGGGCCAATAGTCTTAAAAAAACTTTAAACAACTCGGCTTCTTCTGAATAACAAAAAGGACCAGATTGATAATATTAGGCCAGAAACATGCTTGAATGTAGGGCTACCAAGTTTGTTAAAATAAATGACCTTGACGTATATTCAAGGTCACGGGGGTCATAAATGTTTATAATCTTTAAATGACTTCTTTCTTCTTTTGAATAACCAAAAGGCCCAGGATGATGATATCTAACCAGTTGTGTGCTAGGATGAAGGGCTATCAAGTTTGTAATAATGACTGACCTTAGATTATAGTCATGGTCACGGGGGTCAAATATGTTTAAAATCTTAAAACGACTTCTTCTGAATAACCATGAGTCACAGAATGTTGATATTTGGCCAGTATTATGCTAGGATGAAGGGCTGCCAAGTTGTTAAAATGAATAACTTTGACTGCTAGTCTAGGTCATATGGGTCAAATATGTTTGAAATCTTGAAACAACTTCTTCTGAATAACCATGAGGCCCAGAATGTTGATATTTGGCCAGTATTATGCCTTGATGAAGGGCTATCAATTAAGGTTTTTCATTATAATGACCTTGACCCACTTTCAAAGTCACATTTGGTCAAATATATATTAACCGTTTAATGACCTAATAACCAAAAGGTCTAGTGTGGTGATATTTTGCAAGTTGCATGCTGAGATGAAGGGCTATAAAGTTTGTTTAACGTAATGACCTTGTTTGACTTTCAAAGTCACAGCTAGGGGTCAAATGTATTTAATTCTTTTAACAGGTTCTTTTGAATTACCTGTAGTCATAAATACTAATATTTTGTGTGTAGCTAAATTTTAGATCACTTTTAGGTTACAAGTGTGAGATTAATACCAGGTGAGAGATGCAGGCCTATTGGGCCTCTTCTTTTCATACTTATAATGAAAAAGACAGACTTGTTCATAACAGTATAACAAATATTGCTTATCATCAAATCATAGAGGTTCCCTGGATTTTCTTATGAACCTTTTTAGGTCACCTGAGCTTTGCTCAAGTGACCTATTCTGATCGCTTTCCGTCCGTCGTGGTGCGTAAACTTTTTACATTTTCAACTTCTGCTCAAGAACCGGTGGATAGATTTTTTTTTTCAAACTTGGTCAGAATCATCCTTGGTAGATGAGGCTTCTCCAGACTCAGAGGTACTACATTCAATTTCAGTGCATAAAAAGAAAGTAAATCAGGGGTTTTATTTAAATTGTAAATTTCAGGACCCCCGAGCTATCTGTTCTCCCTTGGGGAGGGGGTAAAGTTTACTATAGTTTATGTAGGGAAATAACACTTTTGGGTATATTTTGACAACTTTCTGTAGGAAATTATTTTTACTTGGTGAGAATAATCCTTGGAGGAAGACGGTTTCAAATTGTAAAATTGAGATTCCTACCCCAAACCCTGGGGCCAGGGTGGGGCCCCAAAGGGAAAATTAACCAATATTTCAAAAATCTTCTTTTCCAGACTCAGAGGTACTACATTCAATTTCAGTGCATAAAAAGAAAGATCATCAGGGGCTTTCTTTAAATTGTAAATTTTAGGACCCCCGATCTATCCGTTCTCCCTTTAAGGGGAAGGGGTAAAGTTTACTATAGTTTATGTAGGGAAATAACACTTTTGGGTATATTTTATCCATTTTCAGCAGAAAATTACACAAACTTAGTCGATCAAAATCATCTTTAATTTTTATTTTTATTTTTATGACATGACAAGTATTGTATTTCACTTAGTTTACATGCTGATTTCCCCATCACATCTAAACAATAAAATAAAGCCACCAGTGCCTATGATATAACTCAGGTCACAGCTAATCTTGGGCCTCTTGTTTACTGATAAAGTGGGTCTGACGGAGATTATTTAAGTAGAATTTAAAAGTGTACAATGTTCGTTTTCGAAGCTAATCAGTGTGTGGAAATGTTCGGCTGGGTGTATACATAGCTTTTCTGCCATGGTCACTGTTTGCCACCAGATAGTGTTGCGAAGATTTATATGTTTTTTGTGCTCTTTTGTATTTGCCCTGTGCGACCTTTGCAAACTTTCCTGTAAGGAAGTGTGTGGTAGGTACAACAACCCCCAATAACACTGGTATTTACATGCAAGTATCATGAAATGGTAGTGCAATCTTATCAGCTAATGGTTGTTAAAACCAAGGCAAACAAAAAGCCAGGTTTACGATGTCACTGTTTCAAACACTTAACCTGACTTGAAACAGTGCTCCCACCCTAAATGTGTTCATTTCTATTAAATGAAACTAACATTATTTTTTAATAAAAATTACTTGTGACTTATGATTTCTTCCTTTTCTGGTATATCCTAGAATTCACCCAGTAATAAATGATTAATCTGTAATAGAAATGAAGGATATTACTTTGTCTAAGTTATTGATGGGGGTGTACAGACCTAAAGCTTATCAGTGGCTCTAAAATAACAAAAAAGAGATGGACTGATAAATTGTCTGTGGTTTTATTGACTGCAGCATAATGTACAGTTCCCTACATCTGTATCCCTATCTCTAAACGTGGAGCTATTGATTTATTTTTCTTACAATGTTACCAGTTGTAGCAGACTTTTGCCTTGGGAGTCAGCAAGTTATGCCAATATCTTTGTTTATGTGACATGACTTTGGTCAAAATTGTTGGAGGCTGTGACAAAATGGGCATTTATAGAAAAAAAAGGCAATCCTCCATAATTCTTTGTTACGGAGGAATCGGATTGAACTGTGGCCGTACAACCTGAGATCTGGTTTGTTACGTTGGTAAAGAATCGGTTTCCCAGTGTGACAACCGTAACAGTAGCTAGTGGAGCCTGTGAGTTTATGTCGGAGGATAAATAGCCATGGGGAGAGTACAGTCTCTTATTGGAACGCATGTCATGTCTGTTCCATGCACTCTCTAACGCCTGGAAAGTCACATTAACTCAGCCTTGAATTTTGAAGGGCATATACTAAATTAAATTGTTGATGTATGATAATTGAGAGGCTTGTGTCTGCTCCGACCAGATTTCATCTGGACTTAACGGTACCATGTATTTCATCGAGTGTATGTCATACTGGCATACCGTGAGTGACACAGTGACTTTACACTGTCTGTGACAGTCCCCACAGTGTGATAGCCCACGATGGACGAGGCTACCAAATGTCTGTTATGTGGGCTGGAACTGGGGAAGCATCGTGTATAAATAATGGATGATTGGTTCCACAGGCTACACATTATCATCTGTATCAGTTCCCTGTGACGTTTCCAGGAGTTCTCCTCCACGCTGTGTGATATGTAACCATGGAGATATTATATTCTTCAGGATTAGGTTACTTTACGGAAATACCCTATACTTTATGATTGGTTGCCATGGAAATACACTGTCTGTGTGTAATGTATATTACAAAGTTACAGTATTATATGTGTTGCCATTTGTTCTTATTGAGCTACGGAAATCGTGACTAATGAACGATGCCTAGATGCAGTTGTATATTCTTGCAATACATCATAAAACAATAAGTAGAAATTGTCAGGCTGCCATATGGAACAATCGTAACCGTGACAACATCGCATATTTATTGAGTCACATCGCGTAACATGTAATTGTACACCATAACTGTATTTACCAGTACGGCCAAATGCACAGTAATTCTGGGCAATGTCAAATCCATCAAAAGCATATTGTCATTAGAGCAAAATTTCATTTTAAAATATCTTATGTAATATAATCAATATTTGGTGATTATAACTGCAGTTAACGAGTATTGACTGTTTTCCTGTTGGCAGGTTAACTTTGATTAAATGTTTAAAATTGCATTATTATGGTTGGATACTTTTACCATTGACTGGGTCTTGCCAGGTAAATCGTGAGGGAATTTCATTACTTGTAACTGTTAGGTCCCCATGCAATCTGGTAGGATCAATTTATTACCTTATTTGTTTGATGACATTTTTGATAATTTATTTGTCAGATTAATATAGTTGAAATCCAGCTTATCAGCTCGTCATAGAGATAGTCAAGTGTTTAAATAAACCGAGACCATTGCTCATCTGCTAAGCTGTCCTAAACACATAGCGATATCTGGCTGGTTAAGAATCCTTGAGCCTTTGGATACACCGATGATGTGAATGAGATGTTGTAGTGTGAACTAAGCTTGGAGAGGTGTTCCGGTGAACACAGAGGGCAGGACGACGAGGACTCCATCAGCTGGTTAAACAAATACTCAGCTAGTTACATACATACAATAGAAAGTTTGTAGCTCCGAAGTGGATTTTGACAAAATCTACACCAGGAAAAACAAGCAAAAGTTAATGTTGGAGTTTTACCTCTATTAAAGTATCTTAGGTACTCTGTGATATAAGGACAGACTGTTACTCTGTGATATAAGGACAGACAGCTGTTACTCTGTGATATTAGGACACACTGTTACTCTGTGATATGAAGACACACTGTTACTCTGTGATTTGAGGACACACTGTTACTCTGTGATATATAAGGACAGACTGTTATCACTAACAGATGACTATAGGATTTCCTGGGGGAAAAAATCAACATTTACGATTTTGACCACACTGCTAACAAATATCCTGTGAATGTCCGCTCCGATAACTGATCTTTCCTTGTCTTATGAGACTGGACACTCTCATTCCTGATCCTAAGTTGTCCAGAGAAAGTGACTTCATGCTCCAGGGATACCTTAGTTTATCATGTGAAAGCAGCTTCAGTTTGTGGCAGTGTGAAGCAGAGCTGATGGTTATGCACATGGCCAGGACTCCATCTGAGGGTGGCACCAGTAACAGGAAGTGAAGCACTGGGTCTCTCTGTGTCCTGTAGTCCTAGACATAATTAAGTCACAGTAAGTATCATGTTCATGTACCCAGGGTCTCTCTGTGTCCTGTAGTCCTAGACATAAGTCACAGTAAGTAACATATTCATGTACTGGGTCTCTCTGTGTCTTGTAGTCCTAGACATAAGTAACAGTAAGTAACATATACATGTACTGGGTCTCTCTGTGTCCTGTAGTCCTAGACATAAGTCACAGTAAGTAACATATACACGTACTGGGTCTCTCTGTGTCCTGTAGTCCTAGACATAATTAAGTCACAGTAAGTAACATGTTCATGTACTGGGTCTCTCTGTGTCCTGTAGTCCTAGACCTAATTAAGTCACAGTAAGTATCATGTTCATGTACTGGGTCTCTCTGTGTCCTGTAGTCCTAGACATAAGTAACAGTAAGTATCGTGTTCATGTCCCCTTTCTTTACTTATTGCTTAGTTGAATCACAGAATACTAGTTCTCTTTACTCAGAATTTTTGAGAATTAGACTGAAAGTAATATAATTTTATGAAAAAATACTATTATTTAATAGAAAAAAGGAAGTTATTTTGATTTTCGTTATTTTCAATTACTGTTTATTGGAGAAATTTGTGGAAAGTATATTTTGGGTGAATGAATGACACTGAAAAGAAATCCGTTCCTTTATGTTGAGTCCGAGATTGGCTTTTGTAGTGAAGATTAGGGTTGTCAGTAAACTCACATTAATGAAATATTAATATAACAAAGATATTTACGCCCTCTCGTTGAGATCATATAAAACATGGTTACTGTTTTAGCTGTTAGCTTCTGTCTAATGGGTAAAACCTTTTGATAAATTGAGAAGGACATTTAAACAGGTTGAACTGTTTCCTATAATGGATGGTGAATTATGTGTCGGTACTTATAGGTCTTGGATGTAACGAAATCTCCTTCGTCACTGGTACTAATGTCATGTTAAAGGGTTATAGGTTAGGAATTGTAGTGGTATGGTTATATGTATCGGCCAATGTAACATTGCGGTTTCTATCAATGAATTACACCTGCTGGTTTACAGCATACATTTTCTGTTTAATTAACATTTTTCTCAGAAAGTGAAGAAATAGGTATTTGGGTAATGAAATTTTCATTTCTGAATTAAAACATGTATTACATGTAAATGCAAAGACTGATGATGTCCATATAAATGCAGCAAAGACTGGGGATGTCAAATGTTATACCAACAAAGACTGACGATGTCAAATGTTATACCAACAAAGACTGACGATGTCAAATGTTATACCAACAAAGACTGGGGATGTCAAATGTTATACCAACAAAGACTGATGATGTCAAATGTTATACCAACAAAGACTGGGGATGTCAAATGTTATACCAATTAACAAATACTAAATGATGTCCATGTGTCATGATAGTGTCCTGTTTTAACAATGATATCTTTTTAAAAAACAGGCCTAGTTATATGACATGACATTGTATATGCATTCATTTTAAAGAGGACTTTTAAATAATTTTGATATCATTTGAAAGGTTTGGTCAAAACTGTATTTGTTTTTAAAGGAAACTATATACCTAAATTACATTTCATCAATACACAGGTCTGGAAACATGTCAGGTTGATATTAATTTGATTTTTATCAGTGGTTGCTGCACTGATCTAATATATATTGGAGACTAATAAATTGTGGTAATTAAATCATCAAAAGGATTTGTATAACATATGTCCTGCAAGTGTGGTCATAATTTATAGATAAATCTGTATATAGGCCAAGGACTAGCTGTGCTGTTCTTGTATCAACACTTGTCTATGTAATATATTAGCCTGTAATTAGGTAACAGTGTATGCACCCATATACTTCATCCTCACAGAGTACTAGGCATGCTTGGTACTTCAAATGTAGATTTACAGCCTTTATCAGAGTAGGCTGATTCCTACATTCATATTTGCTATTGCAGGAATCATATAGGTATTGTTGTTCTCTGGTGTTCTTTAAGTGCTATTGTACTGGGTAGTCTTTCAGATATTAACAAGATATTATATTCTGTGTTAGCTTACTGGTACTCAAAGCATTAAATTCGATATTGACATTTTCTTGGATTACATTAATGTAAGTATGCCGGGATCAGTGGCCTATTCAGACATTCTTAGAGTTCTGCTGTTGTATATGGCAAACACTATTGAAAAAGGCAAGTGGATTATTATTTAATTGACTCTGAAAACACTGCTTGGCGGTGCGTGGATTAGCATGGTACAAAAACGATTATCTGTACTTAGTAAGCAGTTCTACTATAAAGAGTGCTTTCCATTTCATTATGTAGTAGATTTAATTGTTTTGTTCAGCAATGCTCAATTTAGATTAAACTTATCTCCCTTTGATGGTTACAGCTATGCTTAGAACAAATCCACAAATACCATGAAAGTGTTCACCTGTGTCAACAGATATGGTGGTCCAGTATACCCGTATAATGTGTTACTAGGCAACTCAGTAATCAGCCATTGATCTGCAACTGTTTCCTCTTAAAAAGTACTGGGACCTTGTATTGGAACTATTCAGTCTTTTGAACAAATTCTGCAATAGTATTTGTACCCAAATATAACAAAATGCCCAAACTTCCATTGGACTATCTTTTTCCGTCGTTCGTACGTTAACGCCATTTCTTCAAATGACTTCTTCTTAACCACTGATTGGAATTTAACTAAATTTGACTGGAAGCATCCCTACGAAGCGGGGATTCAAAATTGTACAAATGGTAGGGCTGACCCCCCAGGGGGCTGAGGGGCAGGGCAAAAAGGGGGCAATTTGGCTATATTGCTTTAAGCGACTTC